GTAATGCAGTGTGTGTTTGTGTAGTGTGTGTTTGTGTAGTGTGTATGTAATGCAGTGTGTGTGTCTGTGTAGTGTGTATGTAATGCAGTATGTGTACTGTGTTTGTGTAGTGTGTATGTAATGCAGTGTGTGTATGTAATGCAGTGTGTGTGCAGTGTAGTGTGTGCAGTGTGTCTGTAATGCAGTATGTGTGCAGTGTGTGTTTGTGTAGTGTGTATGTAATGCAGTGTGTGTGCCTGTGTAGTGTGTGTGTATGTAATGCAGTATGTGTACTGTGTTTGTGTAGTGTGTATGTAATGCAGTGTGTGTGTAGTGTGTGTTTGTGGTGTGTGTAGTGTCTGTCTGTGTAGTGTGTGTATGTAATGCAGTGTTTGTAATGCAGTGTGTGTGTATGTAATGCAGTATGTGTTTGTGTAGTGTGTGTGTGTTTGTGTAGTGATGTAATTTGTGTAATTTTTTATTTTAATATTTTTTTTTATATTTAAATGTTTTTTTTGTTTAGTCCCCCCCAGTGTGTGTTTGTGTAGTGTGTGTTTGTGTAGTGTGTATGTAATGCAGTATGTGTTTGTGTGTGTGTGTGTGTGTGTTTGTGTAGTGATGTAATTTGTGTAATTTATTTTAATATTTTTTTTAATATTTAAAAATGTTTTTATTTTTTGTTTAGTCCCCCCTCCCTGCTTCTTACCAGGGAGGGGGATATAGTATTCCCTGGTGGTCCAGTGGCTTGTTAAGTACAGTGGTGGCTCAGCAGCAGCAAGCGCTGACTTACCTTGCATGCAGCTCCTACAGCTCCCTATGTAAATCTCGCGGCTCTTAGTGCCGCGCGGAGCGTTGCCATGGTAACCCGTGGCAACGCTCTGCGGCCGCGGGTCTCACGAGATTTACACAGGGAGCTGTAGGAGCTGCATGCAAGGTAAGTCAGCGCTTGCTGCTGGCCCCCACAGGACCGCCGGGCTTATAATGGGCCCGGCGGTCCTGTTATATATTATCGGCAATATCGGTATCTGAATTGGCCGATACCGATATTGCCGAAAATACCAAATATCGGCCGATAATATCGGCCAGACCGATAATCGGTCGATCCCTAACGCTAATACTTCCTTATCTGCCATAGCAGCACAGGGGTGTGGGCACTAGGAACTCTTTTTTAGTATTACAACATAAAACATTAAAACTGTTTAATCCTAAGTATTCATCTACAAAGTGCATCTTAGTTATAGGGATTCACTAGTGCAGTCCAAATTTATTTTAAGAGTATTCAAAGTATAGACGTTTTTGGGATCCCTCTCCCTTTACCAATGATAAATGCCCTCATTTATACTTATTTATACTTATTGGGGTTCTTTATTATTCTCCTCTACTGCCACACTATAAATTACTCTATAAACCCATAGTAGAAGCAAAATACATACCTTTAATTAATAGGGACATCCGATCCACAGTTAGTGTTATATTTGCCAAATTATACAGTTCTCATTTTCTCTTTTATTCTCCTGTATTCTAATCTTGTCCCAGCTATCCCTCTTCTAATTTCTGACCAGTTATTATCTTGTCTGCCCCTGTCTCTGAACTCAAAGCTAAATCCTCCCTCTTGCTCCAAACTTGGCACCACTTTTGAGTTACTGGGGGGGAGAAAAAAAACGTCTTTCCTGATTATGCTGATAATCATTTTTATCTTACAAATATTTTATTTTTTTTCTCCCATATGTGTATTAAATTTTCCACTTTATATCTACTTATTCTTTTAGTTTGGCGAAGAGTTCCAAGTAACTCATGCTTTCTGCTACTTCTTTATTCAGTCTCTCAATTGCCAAGTTCCTCTTATGGATGATATTTTGATATTATTAATTAATTCCTAAGAACAGAAACCCAGTGCTCAATCTCAAATTTCCAAAAACCTCTGATTACCCTTATCAAAGATTTATTTTAATTTTATTTTTTTTATCTTTGCTTCTTTAATCAATGATTTTTCTAATGTTATCAGAGAATCCTCTAAATAATCATTTTGTTCCATGTATGACCAATCTTATATATAAAAAAAAACAATTCTATAAATAAATTTCAAAATTTCAGTTGTTCCAGGTATTCTAGTGCAATCACAGTGTAAAAGCGTATTGTTTATTTAGTGAAATTATTATCTGATTTTCTGCACATTGTATTAACACTGACAGATATCATTGGTTGAAAAATATTTTAGAGGGTGTGATGCTGGAGAGTTTTATTCCCACTCACACTCCCGTTATCTTTTTCCGTATTTGCAATTCTCTATCTTTCCCTTTCTATTTCTTTCTTGTTTTGATGCCTGCCTCTATTGTTCCCTTTGACCCCCTCTTTCTTTTTTTGTCACTCTGTCTTTTTTTCTTGTGTTCTTTTTAATTTTTGACCTTTTACCCAGTGCCCTATCCAATCCTTTTTTTTTCTCTTTTTTTTCTTCAACTATCATTTGTTCTTTCACTGAACCCTGAAGCTTTCTTACCCTCAGCTTATTTTCCCTTGTTTTTTTGGTGTGTTTGTCTATTAGCTGTGCATATTTATTCATGCATTTATACAAGCCTTACGTACGTAAAATTAACGTACTTATTATATATTTGTATATAGTAACCTTATTGTTTAGGATCTGGAAATCTAAAGTAAGTGTGTGGCTTTTTTTTTTTTCATTTTTTGCTATGCTCTATGTCTAAAATTCTGAATTTCCCCCCAAAGGGACTAAAAGAGCTTCAGTACCCTAGATTAAACGATAAGGGTTGGCAGTTTATTCATATGTGTATTGAACAATTGAAAAAATGATTTCGACTTGTTTTATCGCATAAAATAGATTTTAGTTTTTTATTCTTGATCATGTTAAGGGAGAGTTGCAGTAAATGTTTTATATCTTAGCAGTAGTTGTTAAACTTTGACATACTTTAACACAAATTTTAAAATAACCATTGTTTTATATGTCTGTCTCTTAAATGGTCTATATCAGGCACAGCAGCTCTGAGAGACGATGTATTTAAAATATTCCCAGAATGATAGTCAAGCTATGGAAATAAGCAACGCTAACACTTTTCCAAATTTCTAATTAATATTCATGCAAACTCCGTTAGTAATAAGACACTGTTTTAAAAAAAAAAAAATTTGATACATAGGCAATGGATAATATCCTAAAGGAATAATGACCATCCATGTACAACACTAGTTTTCCCTTTAAGAACTTTTCTAAGATGAATAAATAATTAAGTTAGATAATTTTTTATCCATTTAGATATTTTAACATCAAATTTGCAGTACTCTTGTCAATCCTTTCTTATATTTTGTATTGATAAACTTTTTTGTTGTTGTTGGTTTATCAATGAATAATGGAGTAACTCCTAAAAATGTATAATTCCTATTGTTTTGTTTAAGAAGGTTTTAATTGTAAAAAGAAAAAGTATTAATAATTGTTTTTAAAGGGTTTTCAAACCCTTTTTAACTTGTCTTTATTTTTAATTTTTATTCCCTTTTGATCTTTATTAGCTAGACCCACTCTCTTTTATTAGTGTCAAAACCCTGTTAAATTAAGTTAAAACTTACCTGGTATCTAGCGCCAGACGAAGCTGCCCTCGCTGCCTTCCATGCCCAATCCATTGTCACTCCTTCCCTCTTCGTGGTCCAATCAAATTCTTCTCATAGTGCAGAGAAAGCAGACGTCATGGAGGCTGCAGTAACCCATTAAGACATGTTGTTCTCATTGTCACATAAAATGCAAACCAATGTACTTATTAGACATGATTTGGCAATGTTCTAATTTTGTGCTTGGCTTAGCGAATGATGGTTTAAGAATATTTTTTCCCACCCTTTTTTGTCAAATTTGAAAATTCAGCACTGATTTGAGAATTCCTGGGTAGCTAAAATTTAGAAAATATTTTTAAATAGTTGGCAATGATAAGCAACAAGACTGTTATATTTAATTATCTGCTTTTATGCAATTCCACTTTGAAAACAAACTTTATGCAAGATAGAAAACAATTAAACATAAAAAAAAACCAATACATAGAATTCAAAATAGAACCTACAAAATGTTTACTACTTTATTTCTTGCAACCAGCATTTACTAATCTCTACAATAAATGTCTTAAACATTCCACTCACTGCTCTGTGCAAAACAATCTAGCATTTCTAATTAACCTGGCATTGTCACTGGACAATGAAAGAAAATACACAACTAATACAAGTGTTCCCTAGGTCACCACTCAAAAGAACAAAAATGAGCATACTTCTTCACCTGCAATTTGTAAGGCAGTAATAAAATCAGTTAGGGACCTGCAAATCCCATATGAACCATAGTTCTCACCCATCCAATGCACAGCAGATGAAGGTTTTGGGGAAAAAAAACCTGAAGAGGCATTTCAAGTATCTAACAAAATGGAAGGCTGGATAGATGTTCATACTTCCTACATACAATATCATTGTCCTTGTCCCCACAGCGTCCCTGTCAGGATTACAAGTTGATCCAGCACGTAGAACTGTATCACACCTAAGACTAACAGGTAGCGTCTTACCGGGCCTTAGAATGGCCGGACCTAACGTACCAGAGAATAGTCAGAATACTTGCCGAGGTCGGAGACACAGAATGAGACACAACAATGAGGGAAAGCCAAAAGTCAGGGATACCAGAATACAGGGAAGTCAAACGAAGCCAAAGTCAATAACCAGAAATAAATGCTCAGAAACACACTCTCGGACAACCACTAGGGAAACCACGTGATAGAATAAAGAATATAAGGGGGGTGCACATAGAGCAATAAGAAGGTATATTATACTTAATATCAGTAGGACACTTCCTGTTAGACCTATAATAGAAAAACACATATATAGTGTAACACTGTTATATACAGAACATTAATTGGTCTCAGGTATTGGGTCACTCACAGTGTGTAGAGCCACATAAAGCTGGCTCTAGCTTAGATGGCAGGTGAATAATAAGCTTATTCTGGCTTTCGATTTTCAGCTTTCCAAGTAGCTCTGCTCCTTTTCTCCACCCTTTAATAAGGGAAAAAATAGAGAGAAGGGATCCTGCAAAAAATTTATTATTTTTTTTTATTATTATTTTTTGCAGGATCCCTTCTCTCTATTTTTTCCCTTTTAATATAGAGAATTATACTGTATGCTATATCTTTACAAGAAGTAATGCTCCTCAATATAAATGAAATTTATTACAATTACCCTCCTCATATTATAAAGATGCTGCAATTGTAATTGGACTCTTATGTATTTATACTTGATTTATATATATGGTATGTGCAAAAACATTATAAGAACAGATCTATTTTAAGATATAAATTAAAATCTCCAGCTGTTTCTGTATGTAAAGGCTCTTTGCCCACTTCAAATATGGCGCTGGACGCCAGGACTGTTGATATATGTGAAGGGAATGAAAGACCGAAAATCCGGAAATGACATCATGAACACGTGATCGGACGGAAGGTCACGTGATCGGACGGGAGGTCACGTGACGCGGAAACAAGGCGAAACCGGAAGTAAGGATGGACGCCGGCAAAACGGCGCCAAATTTGAAGAGGAGAATATCATTTAAAAGGAAGAAGACCAACACTCACCACACACTTTGATAAAGACCTGGAGGTCGAAACGCGTTAGTGCTGTGTATTTTGTTATGTCATTTTAGCTTTTTCTGTATCCTTTATTTTAACCAGTAAAGTCACTTTTTGATTATTGACATTGGATGTCCTGGAAGTTATTAAAGGGCGGAGAAAAGGAGCAGAGCTACTTGGAAAGCTGAAAATCGAAAGCCAGAATAAGCTTATTATTCACCTGCCATCTAAGCTAGAGCCAGCTTTATGTGGCTCTACACACTGTGAGTGACCCAATACCTGAGACCAATTAATGTTCTGTATATAACAGTGTTACACTACATATGTGTTTTTCTATTATAGTTCTAACAGGAAGTGTCCTACTGATATTAAGTATAATATACCTTCTTATTGCTCTATGTGCACCCCCCTTATATTCTTTTTTTCTATCACTTTGTATTTGAGTGCCATTTAGTGATTTTGGGCACTGGGGGTAGTTGCATATTTTCTGGCTCTATAGCGCCAATCCACCATTTCTTGTATTGTTTTTACTAGGGAAACCACGACAGGGCAATGAGGAAAAGGTAAAAGGAGTTTAAATAAGCCTTTCTCAGCTCTGATTTGCTGTACCTGACCTCTGACCCCAGAACCTGCGTGTATGTCCTTTACGTGACACAACACGCACGTCGACGTCGTCCATGCCATGGGCGGACGTGGGGCTACAAATTGGTGTGGATCCACAGCGGCCGGCATCCACCAACATGCTGCAGGAGTCAGACACATTGACGCATGGCCGCTGAACGGTACTACCACACTTGTTAGCAAGGCAATCACTGCAGATGTCGCAAGGTGAGGATACATATGTTGCAGTCCCTCAATGGCTTTGCGATAAAATTGTATTTTAAGCATGGGCATGGCTAACTACCTTCCAAACTACAAACCATGTGCACTACAGAAGTTACATAGTTACATAGTAATCTAGATTGAAAAAAGGCTAAAGTCAATTAAGTTAACCCTTGAAACCAATTTATTCTGTTGATCCAAAACAAAGCAAAGCCCCAATTGTAGCCATTTCCAATTACGCAACAAAAAGAGAAGAAATTCCTTCTTGACTTCATTATAGAAATCAGGTTTTTAAACATATTTATATACATATCAATTATATCCTTGATTATTCTGTTTAACATAGTGGTTCCCAAAACCAGTCCTCAAGGCACCCCTACCAGCCCAGGATTTAGGTATTACCCAGTTGTGTCTAAGTTTTTTTAGAAAAAAAACACCTTAGTCAAAACTGGGTAATGCCTAAATCCTGGACTAATAGGGGTGCCTTAAGGACTGGTTTTGGGAACCACTGGTTTAATTAAAAAAAATCCAAACCTTTTTTTTACAAAATTCTATCAATTCTGACGTGATAACTAAGAGATGTCAACATTTTTATTGTTTTTACTGTAAATAACCCTTTTCTCTGCTGCAGGGCAGCAAAAATTGGACCCATCATAAAATTCTTTATTTTTGGTGTCACTTCACAGAACAAACATTCCATAAGGCATAGTAATGATCAGTAAGTAGTGATGTCCCAAACTGTTCACCGAACGGTTCGCGAACGGTTCGCCACAAACGGTTCGCCACGGACTCCAGTCAGCTGACACATTCCAGCCAATCAGCAGCAGACCCTCCCTCCCAGACCCTCCCATTGGACCCATCGTAAAATTCTTTATTTTTGGTGTCACTTCACAGAAAAAACATTCCATAAGGCATAGTAATGATCCGTAAGTAGTGATGTCCCGAACTGTTCGCCGAACGGTTCGCGAACGGTTCGCGAACGGTTCGCCATGAACGGTTCGCTGCGGACTCCAGTCAGCTGACACATTCCAGCCAATCAGCAGCAGACCCTCCCTCCCAGAACCTCCCACTAACAGCTCACTAAGAATGCAGCTTCAAAATGGATGCTGTCCAGGAGGTGGGAGGGTCTGGTAGGGAGGGTCTGCTGCTGATTGGCTGCAGTGTGTCAGCTGACTGGAGTCCACGGCGAACAGTTCGGGACATCACTATCAGTAAGATACGTTTGTACACAAACACCAGCAAATCATTGTGACAACCTGCATAGTTAGCATACATTCTATGAATTGACATGTTTCTGTTTGTTTAATATATAAGCTAAACTCTCATAATTAAAAACTGAAAAGAGTCATCCAAATTCACTTCACTATGAGTAGTCCGTGCAGAGGCCTCATATGGCGTAGTGAAAGGGCCTGGGGTTTAATATTGGGTGACCGATATATTCTGTCAAAGTGAGCATGTTGGCAGACCATGTGCAGAGTCCTGCGGAAGTGCTCTCACATGTGAAAAATACCCTGTATTTGTTTTGTGCAGTGCAGGCCACTTTAATGACATGCTTGCTCAGTGTTTGCTTGTGACTTGTCTCTGGTGTCTCCATACGTGGGATACCAGGGACCAAAGAGCCAGGAAAGAGTATTGTGCATGTGTTTGGAGACTTCTTCAGAGATTGCGTGTGTGTAGAGTAAACTGATTGTGGTGTGGTGTTTTTTGTAAATAGGTCGGTTTCAATAGTGTTGTGTTTGTGGTGTGATATGTAGCTAGGGGCTGTAAAAAATGAAAAAGTGTGCATGTATAGTGGGCATAGTGTGTATCAGGGCTGTAGCCAGTGTGTGCATAGGTAGTAAAGTGTATGGCGCATACTGCGCCCAAAATGAATACGTACATAGATCTTCAGGGGGTACAATACTTTGGACCTCAGAATAATAGAAAAAAACAATAATGGTACAATACAGTATGATAAGGTACAAACTATAAAATAACTGCTGAATGAGATCCACTCACATTTGATTGAGCTATCTAAGCGCTCTGCTGTGTTGCGCGTGGCAGTATAATCCCCGTCTAAGTATGTTTGACGGTATGGACAATGCCGGTGCTCCAAATGAAGTGCAAGTATGCGTGGTATATATGGAGACAAAATGAGAAGAAAAACAAAAAAACTCCAATGGTGTATTAAGTACTAATAGATAAAAAAGAGTAAGATGTAATGTACTTACAGTTAGTAGAGCAAGGCTTGCTCTAGTTAAAATAACATGGGTGGTATAATCCCCACCTATGGATATACTGGTACCAGGTAGCAAATAGAAAACAAATAGCTATAAAAAGTAACTATTTATTGAAACAATGTAAAAGCAATAAAAGAATCTAAAATTAGACTTGACGTGTTTCGCCTGTTCAAAGGTTTTTTCAAAAGTGTGTACATAGGGGCTGTAGTGTATGTGTGTATAGGTGATGTAGTGTGTGTATTTGCTGTAGTGAATGTGTTTTTTGGGAACGTAATGTGTGTTTGCGTACAGGGGATTTAGCATGGGAATCCAGAGCGGATATGTCAGGAATGTAGTGACACTCAATGTATTTGTTACCTCTGCAACGTATAGTGTGATGAACTGGCTTATAGAGTGTTTTGGGTTTTTTTGTACTAAATTTCTTCATGACATAGTACTAAATTGCTGTTTAATATATTTATTAAACATAAATCTTGAATAAGATATAGGTAGTCCTACCAATATTTTCCTGACGCCCAGCTCCCTTTAATTTAAAGTAGCATGTATATATTTTTTTTTTTTACCCCAAATCTTTCAAGAGATATGGAAAAAAGATAGCTGCGGATGTTTTCTATGTGTACATATACCTTGGCAGTCTTCTTTTATCTGCCTCTAAAGAAAATTCTGACACAGATCAGGTGATCAAGAGGTACTCTCGGAACTTGCCTGCACAAACATCCACAGCTAGCGAGTACTAATTAATTATATATTTAAAGCTGAACCATTTTCCTGCCATAATGTAGCAATAAAATAACAAACAAAAATGTTGTGTCTGGCAAATACCCTTTCAAAGATACACATCAAGCATCATGGTCAAAACAGTTGATTGTAAAGGCTATGAATAAGTCTCTGTTTTTAAGACATTTTGTTTATGTGGTTTGGTAAAAAAGAGAGATTCAACAATATGGATATGGCACACCTCAATCTCCTATAGCCCAGTGCTCACAACCTTTCTTTGCATGGAGCATTTTGTACAAATAATCAGGAAGTGAACATCCTCATTATGCTATCTCGAGCTGTGTGGGTGGCTTTATGGTGTTGGGGAACTCTCTGTTTCTTCTCAAACTGATTGAAAATGATCTTGGGGAAAAAAAATTATTATTTGCACAATGACCACTATATAATGCATAGTAGTTACGATGCCTGAAATGTCTCTCTAAGAGGACTGGCTATTAATTAATTAGATTTACGATGAGCAATGTTTTTAAAGCATTATAAATTATCAGTGTTTTTGCATGTGTTATTTCCTAAAACAGCCTGTCACTTGAAACGTTGGGCAATCTGTTTGATGTGAGGCAAAATACAACATATTTTATAATTTGTGATGCTTTGGGGTGATATGCATTGTTAATGTGTGCTGTTTTTAGATTGACTTTCTAAGTAAAACTGTTTAGCCTTATATGTGAAAATATGCTAGCTCTGTTTAGTGTACTAATACAGCCTGGGTTATTATTTTACTAATA